GACTAAGTGAGTGACTCAGTCAGTAATGTTTGCATCTGCCTAATATATATATATATAACACTTATTTGTTTAAAACTATTTGTATGTTTACAAGGCTCTACTGATCCTAAATAGCTGAGGGAAATGAAAATCAAGCACAAATCAAAAGCTTGGTACTCATGATGATAAATCCCACAGCGGTGCCCCTGCTAAGTCTTGTAAATATATACTGTACATAAAGATGTATGTATTTGAATTAATGTGAAAGATACACTGAAGTAAAAAATTGTCTTAAAGTATTATATTTAAGTTATATTTGTTTTGATCGTTTATTTTGGGTCAGCAAGTAACACTTCCTCTGGTTATGTGCAGCCAACAATGTGTGTTATAAGTGCATGTTTTTTTTTAATGTAAACTATTCATTGTTAACCAATACAGTATTTGTATGTGAACAGTTCCACTGTGACGACTGATGATGATTTCTGCGAAGAAAGTGTAAAGTGACCCATTACGCAAGACGCTGTCGGTGCTTCCTGCATGGAGTGAATAGGTTGATGAAATTTTATGATTTGTCTGTCTGGAGCAGGTATGGCTGCAGTATAAATGATAGGCGGGCTGTTTTAACCAACCGACCAATCAGGAGTCTCCATACTGACCAATCACAAAGCAGATACACTTCGCTTCCTGTTTGGCCCAGGGACATTATCTGGTGAGAAATAAACGTTTATTCCTTAAAGTAGACAAAATATTTTGAAGGAGAAAATTGTCATTGTTTTCTGTAAATAAGAATTATTCCATGTATGGATTTATTAGTTTTTTCTATCGAAATTTTGGCCTCGTTGGGTAGCATTGTACTGTGAATTTTGCCCGTTTTTTTGTGTGTGTGCGCGAGAAAAAAAAAAAAGAAAAAGAAAGAAAAAGAAAACGTTAGCTACAGCACACTGCTAACACTAGCAGTCAGGTTAGCTTTATGATACGCTGACGCTGAATTTTATAACCATTAACGCCTTCTGTGTTCTCTCCTTTTTTTAAACAGAATATCCCCAACTCGTCTGTACAATTAAAGCAGTCAGGTACGTGAGAGGGCTTCATGGGAGGTATCAAACAGGAGCAGAGTGATGCATCGCAGCAGCCCAAAGCTTCGCACACAGCGGACCAACCACAAGAGGAGGTGGGTACTGCTGCACCACACCAACAAAAACTGGCTTCGGGAAGTTTTTCAGTGTTGCTTACGTGTTAGAGGAAGAAAGCTGCCACCTTTGTGTAATTTAAGATAAACTCGAGCATATTATTAAAYGCAGTTACAGTGTTACTGCGCAGTAATTAACAATGTTATAATGTCTTATAGTGTGTATAATTTGGACAAGTGAATTTGACTGACCAAATATATATTTGCCAGTAACAATAAATTAGTACTTAAGCAGAATCATGAAAACAAAAACAAAAATGTGTCAAAACAAGAATACAAAACAAAAACATGGGTTTTTAGATGTGATGTCCTCCATTTTTGRCAAGAATGAACTGCAAATTGGTGATATATTAAACTGCATTAGGTTTAATTGTAGTCATTTTATAAATATGTGTGTAATGAGACTGCAACAATCAATTTGTTAAGGTCTTTGGTTAGCTAAAAATAAGATATATACACTTGCTAATTGTTCAAGTTAGTTGTGCAAAATGTGTACAACTTTGGCATTTCACTAAATTATGTGAGGTCATTAATGCTATTCTTAAGTAAATGTACCTTCAAA